CACCACAAAACCCATGTATTTTCTTCCTATTTCAATTGAGCATGTTAGTAAAACGAGCTGACCCAGATAAGCCTACTGGTCAGCATCATGTCTGGCTTCCTATTGGCTGGGAGTCTTTGCCAGATTTGTCTTGTTTCAATCCAAGAGGAAAAAAATAAAGCAGGTTTTAAGAGCACAGTTTTGAGCATGAATGAAAGAATCTCAAACCCCAAAGAGGGACATTTGTATGAATTTAAGAGCAAAATAGCCCATCTGAGAGAAACTTCAACAAATCTGAATGCATGTAAGAACTTTTGAGTGTGAACAATGTTTTGGGAGAGAGCTGTCCACGATCTACGCAGGAAGACACCAATTAATGCTCTAAAATTGGCTAAGAAGACAGGACAATAATACCATTGATGTGTTACGATGCGGTTTTGGAACTTTGAATTGTAGCAAACAATCATTAAAGACGATCCAACGGGCTTCTTAAACCATCATCGCATCTATACCAGAACCATTGGGTAGAATATTCAGGGAACTTAGCAAAAGCTTTTTTGACAGCAGCTTTTCACACATGCACTCCACAGTGGGATGTCTACCAGAGATGTGCTTTAAAAGCATGAGATGTGAAGGAGGGAGATGACAAACCTGTACATTGTGTAAACCAAGCTTTTTTTTTTATAGCAAGTTGAGAATGTTGGATGAGGCTCCACATTGGCCATTTCTGTACTGGTATCAGCACTTCACGTATTTGAAAGTATCCATAATGGCAATCGAGTGGAAAGCAAAAAATAGGTCATCAGATAAAAACATGAGGCATCAATTCCTAACATGTGCGCATGCTAACTTGCTCCAGCAAAGATGTCCGGCTATAATTGCACATTATCTTGGAGATCAATGTTCTAGACAGTCAAGTACAGAACTGGTTTCTCTTGGATATTTCAGGTCTGTAGAACTTTATAAAAAGATGGGGAAAAAACTGATCCAAAAAAACATTCCTTTCAGACGAGAGCCTCAGCATACAGCTTTCAGACCAGTTACATTTTTTTTCCAGCTAACTCAATCTGAATAGTGGTCGTGTAAATAGTCCATTCAGAGAGCCAGAACTAATTCTTCTCTTCTGAGGCACCAGCAGCAGCCTGGCAAATGCTGGTACTTAGAAAAAAGGGGGTTTGTACCAGTGGGATCGAGGCGTTTCTCCGTGACACATTTACATCTACACACAATGTTCTCGGCAGGAATCTACAGACTAATTGCTTGAGAAGCCGGTGTATAAATTTGGACTGGCTTAAGAAAAATGAAATACACTTTGAAGAAAAGACAAGAATTTCTCTTGAAAATTTATCGCAAGCATCACGGAAGGAAAACAAAAAGATGAGCAACTGAAAGAGAAAACTAATAACTGAAATCAGCCCAGCCAGAGGACTGTCACAAGGCATCAGGCACTCGTCGACAAAATCAGTACAGCTTCTGGGTTTGCAAATTAAAGAATATGTCTGACATTTCAGGGCATCTAAATCCAATCATTCTACATTTGACTTGCTTGTTTAATGTAATGCTTACTTGCAAATGGTTTGAAGCTTTGTGCAAAAGGAATGCAGCAACCCACAACTGCAGAAACAATTAAGTGTTTCACAGTGAAGGTCCCTTCCAAACAGTGAGCACAACTTACATTTACCAAGGAAAAAAAGAATGCATGAAAAATGGAACCTTTTATGGCCATTATTGTAAATGTTTTTAAAACACGGTTTTAAACACAAAAGAAACAATCTGAATGGGGTTTATGATCAGCTAAAGCCAACATCACAGTCAGCCAAGACTGCTGACACAGGAGCTTCCAAAGTGACGAGACATTTGGGTTTCCTAAAGGTCTCATTCACTCACTTTATTATAATTTTGCTGTGTTCCTTCGTATGAATGAATGGCTTGAGTTGCTTTCCATGGGAAAAACGGCTCTCATGCTCTTTAAAACGACGGGATAAGGAGGTTGCTCATTAATATAGAATATATGCAAACGCTTCTCCTCTGATTGGCTAACAGCAACATAACTCTACTGCTGTTTGTTAAAAATCTGCTGTAAAAAATGTGTTTGGGGTGAAAAATGTAACGCTGATGTGTTATGTGCACTCTGCTCTCTCCTGGCCTTAAATATCAATACCATGTTCCGTGGCCCACGGCAGGCCAAGTTGGGCAAGCCCATGAATAGACCCTTTTACTACCTACGTCATCAAAAGTTGCACGCGCAGCCTGGCAACGAGAGTGAAGGCTTCCTCATTCACACTCGATACTAAAACAGCGTTTTAAACCCTTTGTTTTGAAGTTCTGAGCACATAAAAAAGTCGGGTTGTTGCGTATGGATGCCAGAATCGCTTCTCTTCAAGCAGTGGACTGAAACTTTACAGAATTCCGAAGGGTCTTTCCATGCACATGCCTGAGATGTAACTGCAGCCTTTTCTGAGTTTCCCGTCCTAACACAAAGCTCAACTTTGAATAAAATTGCTGCTGCGGGGCTGCAGCATGACCCAAGTCTGGAACATCAAAATGACAGAATTAAACAAATTTATACGCTTTATTTCATGCTTCAAATTAACATTTCATTCTAATTCATCTGTATTTTCCCACTGCATATTAGTATAAACTGTATTTCTCTAAAATTAACACGATTGTACTCTGAGCACGCTAAAAAAGAAACCTATGCTATACTCACCCTGCCATGCAGGTACAGTTGGCTGTGAAGACGTAGTTCTCTGGTTTGTTTACTATGACCCAAGCCTCGTACATAGCAGTCTTGTGTCCTTGTCTTTGGCTAGGAAGGACTTCTGCCTTCAAGACGCAAAACTCAGAGTCTATGTGGTGATATTTTACTTTCTGTACGTGGCCACAGACAACATAGTTGTATGCATCTAACGATTTGTATGCCCGTAGCTTCTCACGAGTGTACTTACTGGGCCTCTCCACTAAAAACTTATATATATCTGGCCACTGGATATCTGGTCACGCACCTACATCTTCCACCCATTCCGTAATGCCACAGGGATCCGGGAGTCTGTTGCCATTCGTTAAAGTGAGTTTAATAATATAACATTCAAGATTTGCCGGTGATAACCCCGCAGCGTAGCTTGATAAAGCCTGACACAACGCCGTTCTCTGTTGCCAAGCTGCGCGCGCCTTCTCGCTGACGTCATATTGTTTACAAACAGTAAAAGGGTCTATAGGTATTTTCTTTGTGACGGAGAAAAGACTTAGCCAAGAAATCCAGATGAATGGCAGCAGCAGCAAAAGGTTTTGCTCCGCAGGTTGATCTAGCCATGCTCCATTGTTGATTATTCATCTTTTTACACAAGTTTTAAAAGGAGAAACTGTACATTCATTCTGCACACCTCTGAATGCCCCGTGGAGGTGTTTTTTTAAATATAGCTTTTTATTAAAATGTTCTATATTCAAACTTAAACAGTAACACTACACATCACTTTAATTGCAACAAGCACATTTGCAATTTGTTCAAAATCGTGGCATATGCCCAAAATGACACAATCTTGTAGGAAACTTTTTAAAGATTATACGAACAGGCCACCCTTTATTCACTTTTAGTAAAGCTACATTTAAACAAAAAATGCTTTTATTGGATAAGTACGTATTTACAACACTGTATGTTTCTGCTGCATATCTTTTGATTCAGTCCAATTAGAAAAATCTACTTGGCAGAAAAATGTATAGGTTTGTACATTTTGGTCCTCGGCGGACTGGTTCGGGGAAGCATTGCTTTTGTGGGAGGGCCAAAAAGAGACTACTTTCAGAACACGAAGACTTCTTATAGCTGCACGGCCTTATCAAGTTCTGAATATCAAAGGATGTCTTTGCACTCTTTTTCTGTGACATGTTGCCAAAGAGCCGCACAGCTGTGTAGCTGTGGAAACCGGTGCCACTTTGCAGCCTTATGCTGAACCGAGACAGCTCCGAGTTCTATGATACATTCAAGTAAAATACCATTGATAATACATTTACCATGTATACAGATTACACAACCTTATCCACCTTAAAAAAAAGAGAAAATATGTAAGCAGATTTGCAACACTGAACTCGCCTCAAATTAGGATCGAGCTCACCTGAACCACACGAAACCTAAAACGCAATCAGGTTATCAACATAATTGACAATAAGAGTCACCCTGAACGGGATGGAGCACCTGTCCTTGAAAATTAATAAATGAATGCATCACTCATGTCACCTGGCTGAAAGCCACTGAGTAGAGGAAGCAGGAGGGTGGGATGACAGTGCAACCAGTCTGCCTCTTGAGAACCCATGTGACTTTGTTACAAAGCAGAATTATCCCACATTGTGGTGGCAGGCTCACCAGACAGGATCAGTCGAGTTCCTCGTGTTAAAACTACCAGGAAATGTCCTCAGCACCAAAAATGTGTTAGTGAATCTATTCCTGCAGGATAAACAGTCCAAGTCAATCATATCGATTAGCTCGCCTCATAAAATCCTTGATTAACCACTTTAATTCACTCACTTTCACTAGAGTTTTCAATGAATTACAAGTATTAAGAGCAGGAGGCTGGTTCACTCGGGTTTCTTTCTTTTTCCTCCCAACATCTGCAAAGTTGTCTGCAGATGAAACTGAAGTGGACCACCAGCAGCAACTGGACAGAAGCAGTCACACCAGACTAGTTAGCTGGCTGAAAGACCCGGATCAACATAATAAACGTCAAGTCCCAGAAAGCAGACCGTACACCTTACCTTTGACCTCTCTGTTCGGAGTCCGTGCCAAGGACAGCAAACAAAACCCTTTTTATTAGTCGTCAGTATGAGCAAAAGCAACACTTTATCCTCAGTAGGAGATGCTAAATACCATTTAAATAACAGTAAGTTAACTTAATGCAGTTGAGGCACCAACTTTTAAATATATAATTAAAAAAAAATAAACATAATATATAAAAAATCACGAGGCGCTGTTAACCTCTTTCACTGACATAACCATCAACTAATCTGTGGGAATCGTTCAGCTAGCTTACCATGGATCAAACTCGTGGATGATGCTCTCGAACCGGATCACCGCAAAAAGTCTGGAGCTGAATCCTGCCAGGCAGGCCAGAAAGAGAATGCTAAACGAGAGTAAAGACTGCCACCCAGCTGGCTGTGTCAGCCCGCCAGACAGGCCTCCTTTGCCCCCTCCTCCACCTCCGGCGCCCAGGCGGCTGCTCCCGTGCACCGAGCTCCCGGAATTGCTGGACGCTTTGTGCTTGCCGTCGCTGGCTGCGTGGTGCTCCGCCATTTCTGCGTGCGGCGTCGGTTGGATTTCGCTGCCGCCTTCCTCCAGCCGGAGCTCCCGTCTCCCTCTCCGCTCCTCGCGGTTGTAAAAGTCCCCTCAGTGGAAAATCCTGTCCTCGGAGCCTTCCGGGTGTACGTTTGTAGGTGTGAAAAATCACAACCGCAGCCGTTCGGTCCCTGCGTGCATACTCATGCGCCACATAGCAAGGCTGCACGGGCAATCCGCTTCACGATTGAACGCCGGTGAAAAGGGGCGGGACTTACGCGATGGGCGGAGCCTTTAACAATCCCTTTGGCCTTTCACAGATCGACAAGTACGAAAGGGCGGGACTTGCAATCTTTTCACCAATAGGAGAGCATGATATTTTTAAAATGACAAAAGGGTTCACCAATGAGTGAAGACCTGAATGTGGCCGCCTCTGATTAAAATATGGATTAGCTTCAGCTACATAGAAATTAATCATTCTGTTGTGTGCTTCGAATAAACAATTACCTAATTACGTTTAATTTAGAATTGTTCATTTGTTCTTCAACAGCTCTGCAACAGAAAGACAAAGTGCAAAAAGCTCTTGGAGGTTTAAATGATTCCAGCGATGGGTAGGTGAGTGAAGATAAATGTTTTTCGTGAGAGCAATATTTCAGTTTCTCTCGGATGTTGTGGACTGACTGGTAGAGATGTAAGAAAGACAGATGTGTTTCATCATCCTCTGTCCTCCAGCAAAGACAAGAATCAGCCATTCATCAAGGCTGATGGAAAGTTTTTATTGAAATAAAACACTTTTTTATCAGCATTCCAAATAAATCTTCGAGATTTTGATCCAATTTATACATTTAAATTGTTCATGTTCTGGTTTATAAACCATGAAATAAAAATGTTAGTTATTTATCTGAGATGTGATCCAGTCCTAAGAGGGAAAAAGAACAATAGTCCAACAGCCGTCTCCAAGGACTGTGATATCTCAGGTAAAAGAAACGTTCTGTCGACAGGGGCGGTGTCGGTACAAGATCTGCTCGGGTGCAAGATCGGCTCGGGGTCCTTCGACTGCCGATGACGTCAAAGTACGGCAAACCCACTCAAACAAAATACACTACACATCTTTACTGTTTGGAAAGAATTTAGCAATTTTGTTATTAAAATAATGTTTCTTACGACGTAAAATTGTGTTTATAATAGTATTTGTAAAATAAAATACTATACCGTATTCATAATGTTGAACTCCTCTTTGAGCACATCCCTTGAAGGATCATAGGTATTAGCAACGCCTGTGAAATTGTATTTGCAGGAAAGAAGTGTTTCCTGTTTATTGAAGTATTTTGTGTTTAGTTTTTGACGTCTTGTCCATGAGTGGTTCAGTTACGCTCATAGCTGCTAGCCAAAACTCTGGAGTTAAAAGTTTTCTGGCTTTACTAAAATACCTGTCTGTACTTATGTGATTGATGGTAATTTTACTTTCTATTAGACTCCAAATGTAATCATTTGGCACGTTTCAAATTCAGAATTTGTAAGAATGTAATCAGTGAAATTAGCATTAGCATTCCTATGGGTTTTTCCACATATATTAGCATTGCGCTAACCACTCGCTGCCAAATTGCAGCCTTTGTGATTAGACAATGTCCTTTTGTCACATCGCAATTTAATTGCACATGCAGTTAATCGTTCAGCCCTAATATACATGCAGCTCTATGCTAAAAGTGTATTTTCAAAGAGGTAATGATGGATTTCTTTGTAAAAGTTGTCCATCTTTCCAACAGAAAAATTTGCCTGGACTAACGTAACGTGATAACAACGTAACGTGATTATGTAATTCCGTAAGGTTCACGTTCAGCCAATCAACTACTTTGATGTCATCGGCAGTCGAAGGACCCCAAGACGATCTTGCACCCGAGCAGATCTTGTACCGGCAACAGCGTTAGGCCCGGCTACTTGGGTTGAAGCCCCGGATGTTTTATGAAAAGCCCCGGATCTAAATCGCGGAAGTAACATGCAGTACCAAAGTCCAACAGAGAGGGAGCAGCTGGCAGTAGTTTGTATACAGCCTGCCTGAGCCTCCACCACTGAAGAAGCCCTTCAGCAGCCGGCTTCTTCTAAACTCTCTGCCTGAAACGCATGAGTGAAGATGGACATAATGACGTTTTTTAGACAAAAAGTACAGCGACAGAACCCCAGCTTTGATGAGACTGGTGTTGACTCAGGTTTGTGAGTCTTATTTGAAAATATTTGTTGTGCTGCTGGTTTGCCTAAAGTTAGCTTATCAGGTAAAGTTCTTGGAGAAAGAAAGGGAATATTTACTATCATCTCACACTAAACACTGACAGGAACAATACTCTGCTCTGAAAATGCTTAATACCGTAAATCCTCTAATACAGGCCCAGGCCTGTATTTGACTCAAGCTCATCAAGCTCCAGGCCTTTATTGGAAGGAGGACCAGAATTAGAGGCAGGCCTCAATTTCTATTTGAGCAAAATGAACTAATGGTTCGCTGGAGTTTGACAAATAACATTGCGCCCACATTTTCAAAGTAACACATTTCTTTTAACAACGGTAGTTTCTGCTTCAGCCCTCTCCCCCTCCCCTGCTTCAGCCCTCTCCCCCCTCCCCCAGCGCAGCGGCCGCAAACTCACTGATGCGCCTGCAGCCTCTCGGAGTTCCTGCTGCTCTAAACATTAAAATAATTATTTCATTTTCTGTTCCTCACTTCTGATTACCTTCAATGGTGTCTGTTTGTTGCAACCAGCAGGTACAAAAACTAACTTGTTTTTATTTCACTATTTTTCTGTCCTGTCTGTTTATTATCTTCCTGCATCTCCTCTCAATCCTAAAGAAAAACTGCTACCTGGGTTCATATATATTCACCTTATGAGTTACCTTTGAACTGCAGTTCTAAAAGATCTACCAATCGCAAAAACAGCAGAGTGTGCGCTGCTTGCCGGCCACATCAGTTAGGTGAGTCACCGAGGACAAAACAGGTGATGCGCCCCGATCCACAGCAGCGAAACGCATCAGGCACAAATAAAAGAATAAAAAAACAAAGAACATAAAAGGAAATGAGCCGACATGAACGATCGCGTGTAAAATTAGTTTTTGAGGTGGTGAAACCCGATTTGATAATGTTACTGTGGCCGTGCTCAGGACGCAGATGTCTGGAGCGCGTCAACAATCAGAGTTTTGCATGTGCAAGCTGGTTAAGGTTAGGATGGGGGTGAGGGGAAGGTTAAGTTGCAAGAGGGTAAACGTCACAATTTGGTTAAATGTCCGTTTTACGGCGGGTGTCAGTACCGACGCTCTGACACAACGCGTTGCCTCCCGACGCGCAGGAGCTTGTCACCTCCTGACAGCAGGCTGCTGTCTTTTCCGTGGACTGCATTTTGCCGGATATTATCACGTGACAGCGACTAGTCGATGACAGGCATAAAAAGTCACTATAGAGCGGTGAAGTCGACTAGTGACTAGTTCATACAACCCCTGCTACTGCTCCCCAGAGTGTTCTGCAGCATAATCAGCACATTCTCTTTGAACTTGATATCAAATTTTCGCCTCCTCTTTGTCTCCGCACGGTTAAAGTTACCCTCGCGGTCTATCACTGGCAAATCAAAAGTGAGACGGATGACACAAACGCCCCCCGTACTTGCTTGTTACCACATTCCACCTGGCCACAATAAAAAAACCGGCCATTATTCACCTCCGCCGACTCCGACACCGTCCAGAATATGATACCCGGCAGTTAATTAAATACAGGCTAATATTAGAGGATTTACGGTATGTAGCAGTATGTAGCTTCAGATTAAAAATTATGTGGTAGAAGACAAATATATATGATGTTGACTAGTGCGTGTCACGTGTGTGTGTGCGCGCGCGTGTGTGTTAAGCCCCGGATCTTCTTCAGTCCTAAATCCGCCCCTGTCTGTCGACAAAATACATCTCACTCGTTTTTTTAATGAACATGTTAGAAATTACTCTTGGCAAGAAAAGCACAGTATTCAAAAGTTTAAGCAGAATATGGAGAATTCTGGAGGTTTGATGGCTGGATCATGAACCTTTCATTGAGAACTGCATGTTCACAATGACTGGATAAGGGTTTTCCAGGATTGTAAATTGTAGAGGCGATTAAAATAATTCATTTTATGACAAAACATTGAACTTATTGGTTGCCATCTATGTTTGAAGAGCATTTCAAGCAATATGGCAAAAATACATCAGAAAAAGATCAGTCACCCCACCTTTAAACATGTTACCATGCCCTTGATTACTGAGAATCTCTACAAACTCTAAACAGGTGCGTCCAAAATATAAAATGACCATTTTTTCTCATAAAGTGATTGGATAAAAGTTTAATCTGGATTCAAATGTCGTCTGGAGAGATAACAAAAAGATCAGAGTAAGAAAAAATAAATAATCCAGACTTGGAGAGATGAAAGATGGATGGATAGTAAAAAAGAACAAAGGGATAATCATGAAAATTGATGGAGGTCATTGTGGAGAGCAGATATGCATTTTGAGTTTGTGAAGTGATTACAGAGATCGAAGCTCAGTGAAGACAGACAAGGGAATGTTAAACATGTGTTTTACAAACACTTGTAATCCCCTCACACACACAAACAGATGCAAGATAATGAGCTCGTCCCTCTTTGGGCACACGACGGTGTGTTCACACACGTACACACCAAGCATCTCATCATTCTTTGGGACCAGCTCGTGTCACAATGAGCAGCTCTTGAAGCCTTTCATGCTTTCCACTCTACCTGCAAATTCTGAATTGATGACCTTTGAAGTAAATAGAAATGCAGGCGGAGAAGATTGCTTCAGACGCGTCTATTGTCAAAAGGCCAGGCCCTGATGAAAGCCAGCCCAAAAGTGTGCTGTTGCCAGGCAAGACGGCGCCGCTTTCCTTCATCTCCAAAGTCAGACGTGTTTGTTTCTGTTAGCTTTGACTTTACTACCTTTCCTTATTATTTTATTTTTTTGCTTCTTTCTACTGAGAACAGAGCTGACTTTCTGAGCATTTGCTTTGCGCTTTTAGACATCTGCATTCTTATTATGCCGAAAGCAAACAGTGCAAAAAGAAAAGCTTAAGATGCCAGACATGAAGCACTCTACCTGTCATTCTGTTTGTTTTGACTGCATGAATAGCTTACAAAGCAGGGAGATGGAAATATCACAGCTAATCAAGGAGATCTAAATCGATACACCACTTTTAACACCTTGACGGATTTATTAGATGTTACCGGCAGCAAATCTTGAAGGCCAAACCATTT